TCATTAGATTGTAGAAGAAGTTCCTTATATATATTTGGGACATTAACTCCTTATCAGGTATATCAGATTTGCATACAACATTTTCTCCCATTCTATAGTCTGCCTTTGCATCTTGCTGATTGTGTCCTTTGATGCACAGAAGTTTTAAGTTTGGGGGATCAGGTGCTGGGGATTGAACTCGGGCATTCAACCACTGAGCCACATTCCTAGCCCTATTTTGTATTTTGTTTAGAGACAGGGTCTGAGTTGCTTATTAGCATCTAGTTTTTTGCTGAGGCTGGCTTTGAACTGGTGATCTTCCTGCCTCAGCCTTCCAAGCCACTGGGATTACAGGTGTGCACCACTATGCCTGTACTTTTGTTGTCATATCCAAGAGTCATTGACAAATAAAATGTCATGAAGTTTTCCCCCTAGATTTTGTGCTAAGAGTTATAACTTTAGGTCTTGTTATGACTTAGTTTTTGTATGTGATGTTTGGTAGTGACCCAGTTTTTTTCCTTTTTCATGTTGATCTCTAGTGTCCCCAGACTGACTGACTGACTGACTATCTATCTATCTATCTATTTATTTCTTACTAGGGATTGAACCCAGGGTGATTTATCACTGGCTATACCCCTCAGTCCTATTTATATATTTATTTTGAGACTGGATCTTGCCAAATTGCTGAGGCTGGTCTGAAACTTGTGAGCCTCTTGCTTAAGCCTCCTGAGTTGTTGGGATTACAAGTGTGTAATGCCTGGCTAATGTCTTTCATCAATTTTTTTGTAGTTTTTTATTGTACTATATGTCTGTATGTATATGTGTTTGTATATATATGCTACCTCATGTATAGTAAATTTCTGGAAAATTATACATAGGACCAGGATGGAAGGGGAGGGAGGTGTTTTTTTTTTTTTGTGTGTGTGTGTGTGTGTGGTGCTAGGTGCTAGGTATTGAACCCAGGGCCTTATACATACATGCTAAGCAAGGGTGTAGCCACTGAGCTACACCCTTGGTCTGAGAATTTATTTCTTTCTTTTTAAATATTTTTTTATTTTTTCATTGTGGTTGTACACAATACCTTTTACTGATTTATTTTCATGTGTTGCCGAGGATCGAACCCAGGGCCCCGCATTGCTAGGCAAGCACTCTATTGCTGAGCCACAACCGCAGCCTGAGAATTGATTTCTTAATGTCATTTTAAAAACAATTTCCTTTTTTTTCCTTTTGTATACCCCAAATTTTTGTTAATGTTAAAATCCCAAACCATGGAGTAGCTTTGGGATTTTAACATTATTATTATTTGTAGCTTATTAAGTGGCTTAACTTCATGCCCTAGAAGTGAGTGATATTTAACTATAGATCAAGTGACATGCATGACTGAAAAATAACATGACAACCTTTGTGACACATTTTGCTAGAGTGGGGATTTTCCCTCCACCAGGTAGACATATATTGACTGGGATGACCTTACACAATTATTTGGTTTCTTTTTTAACTATGAGTCTTCCCAGTTAAAGTAATACTCTACCTATAAGCTGTTGCAGATGAAAGTAGTATAACAGATGCTTCTCTCTGCTTCTGTTTTGCTTTATTCCATGTAGTGCTGGTCAGTAGAAGGGCACAATCATATTGGCTCTAATTTCTAAGCAAATGAGAGCCTAGGAGGGAAAAGCCTCAAAGGATTGAGCTGAAGAGTCAAATACGTTATTTTGAATCTTGCCTCACTACCCTGTTACTTGAAACTTTAGTTAATTCTGTAGTACAGGGTTAGTACTACCTAGCACATAAGGTTATTGTGAAATAGCAAATGGAAATCTAAAGAAGAGCTTGCACATAGTAGGTGATCAGTGACTTTTAACTCCTTTCTTCTTAAAAAAGAATCTGCCAAAATGCCGTTGTATACTTGCAAGACTAGCTGAGGCGTGTCTCTTGCCAGCTCTAAGGCAGCCACCCACACATTATGGAATAAGTCTCCACCAAACCCAAATTCTCTTGACAGGGTTAGTATATGACAGATAGAGCAATAGTTTAAGTTGGAAATCAAGGTCGTGGATATTATTCCCTTGTTTAAGGAAAGGGGCAAGGAAAAGTACCTAAAACAAGACTGTAAACAAAAAAATATCTGTAATCTTGGTCCTGTGATATGGGAAAATAAAGTACACTACCTAGGTTGTCTACCTGATCTTTCATTGTAAAACAAGTTTTACAGCTCCTGCTGTAGTAGACTGTGACATAATGGTGGGAAATGAACAGAAGTAAGAGGTAATGTTAAGGTATAAGAAAGAGGGTTTGAAATGGCTCACGTCCTCTCTTTCTCTGGTATGCCTGTTGCCCTTGAACCTCTGCATGACTCAGTCTCCCTTTTGGTTTTAAGGTCCTGTAAGTCCTGCCTCAACATGCTGCTTTGTTTGCCATCTTAACAGGGAGGGTGAACTGGTTCAGTTTCATTTCAGCAAGTCCAAGCCTGCTTTTCAAATGGTACTGGCAATTACTTCCCTGGCATTTTAAGTTGGTCAATGTGAAGAAAGCTGGGACCTTTCATTCTAGAATATCGTTCTTGCTTTCCAAACACCAGATGACCCTATCTCTGTCAAAGAGTAATTGGAACAGAAAAAATCATGCCATCATTTTCCTTTCTTTATCTTATTGTGACAGTACCATTTACATATAGGTCTTTAAGCTAAAAGATGTTGAACATGGAAAGAATTGACATTGGAACTAGAGGCCAGTAGGAGGTGTCTCCTTGGTCAGGTCATCAGTGAGAGCTTGGTTATTCTCCATACCAGGGCATCAGATCAAAAGGGTTGCATTTCTCAGTACACCCCTAGAGTGACGAGGCTTAAGAAATAGTGACTATGAAAGTATTCAGAAGTATGGTAGAATGATTGGAATTGTGGACTAGCAAAAAACAGAACCTAGAAAAATAAAGGCAGTTCAAAAAATAAATATGATTAGAAACCATGAACTAACAAATGTCAGAAGGACTGAGGCAGGAACCAAAAAATAGTGCTAGCATTCCAGGAGAATTTTGATCCATTTCTGTGGGTTTATTCACCAAGGGCTCTGTAAGTTCAACATTTGGCTAAAGCTCTTGACACCCATACAATCATTGATAGGGTCAGGAGCAGAAATGGAGCTGATTTAAAACACTGTGACTCACCCCTCATTTTGCTTTGTTTATCACAGTTCTCCTGTACTTGTATTTTTGGTTTCAATACCCTTTCTCATGTACCACAAAAGAGGCTAACAAGAAGCCGGGCATGATGGCACATACCTGTAATCCCAGCAACTGAAGCAGGAGGATCACAAGTTCAAGGCCAGCCTCAGCAATTTAATGAGACTCTCAAAATAAAATATAAGGACTTGGGTGGAGTATGGCTCAGTGGTTAAGCACCTCTGGGTTCAATCCCTGGTTTAAAAAAAAAAAAAAGCGAATGATGGAGTTATTTCTCTTTGAGATTAAACCAAGATCTTGGGTTGAAAGGGATTAAATTTCTTAAACATGTAGGACATCAGGACAGTTAAAGAATCCTGAGTCTTCAGCTGTCAGGGTTTCTTATTGTCTTAGCCCTCGTCATAGCACATCACACAGCAGCCTCACTTGGGTCTTCCTCTCTCCTGACATTGGGAGCATGAATGACATAGACTGGGAAGTACAATGTTTTTATTGAACTTTATTAAACCCACAAAAAGGAAGTGGCAGATTGCCAATAAAACCAGAAGACCTTTCTCATTTTCATTACATTCTTAGGATGGAGAGAGACTACAGGAAAGTCTCTAGAATATTATGTTGGATCAAATCATGAATATATGTCTAAATCAAGGTTCTTAATTCATTATGTCCCATTGTTCTATATAGAATTGAAAACTTGGGACTGAATGGGTTAATGTTTCAGACCAACCTTACAATGGGTAGGAAAATCTAGATGTAGATACTCAAAGAAATTACTCAGATTTCATCTTCTTCTCTGTTGGGTTACTGTTAGCAGTTCCTTCCTCTGGTGTTCAGCCATTATAAGAGAGAATTGAATCCTAGGCATAGACCCTGATTCCTGAGTTTTCAGAAGGGAAAGCGCTCCACAGAAGGGTAGGCATGTTAGAAAGTGCTGCCTTTTTCACTGTTTTAACTTAGCCCGAGATTCAGTTAGCAAAAACTTATGAAGACATGACACAAAAGAATAAAGCTGGCATCAGTGGGTTTCCTGGTGACAGCTTTGGATAAAGGGAACCTTTTGAAAAAAAGCAGGTGAATATTGGACTCTTCTTACTGTTTGTCCACCAGTGTTTGCCTGAAGACCAAGTTCTGCTCCCTCTTTCTCCCTTTCTACACACCTTAAACTCCTTCCTCTTCCCTCCTCCTCCCCCCATAGGAAGAGACTCTGAGTGGCCTGTTAATTAGAAAATCTATAACTGATAGAGACTTAGTTGCTGGACTGGTCTTTGTAAAAATAATCTGCCTTTGGGAGAGAATGAATAAATCAGGGTATCTAACTCTGTTGTAGTGTGGTTCAAAGTTCAGTGACCAGAGCCTTAAGTGAACATGCTTGCTGTTTTATTTTGGGGGTTCTAAATTTCTTGTATATGTGTCAGGGACTTCAGCAAAGTGTTGATGTGGCAGCTGGTGTTTTTTGAATGCTGCTTTCTTCACCATGCTGTTAAAATAAGCATTTTACCTATATGAACAAATCGAATTCTCTGGACAGCATGAGGTAGATAACAGATGAGGAGACTGAGGCAAAGATTGGTAACTCGCCCAAGGATACAGCATGGCCAAGATTCAACCTCAGGCAATTTGTCTCCAAAGTCTGCTCTTCAAGGACCGCCAAGTTTATCATTGTTCTCATTTATAATAGTCTGTTTTTACCTTGGATTACAAAAAGATCTGAAGCAGAATCAAGAGACAGTGGACACTCCTCAAAGAGTTGGGACCATCCTCAGTGTGCCTCAGTGTCATGGTTAGTTCTTTATAGAATATGTCTCTCTCCTCAGTCAAGGACCACCTGCCTTTTCTCTTCTAGTGCTGAGGAATGTAAGCAAGTTTGCTGGGCCTTGCGAGACTTCACCAGATTGTTTCGATAGCTCACACTCCTGCACTGTGCCTGTCACCCAGGTGAGTAGTATGTGCTTCCACCTTTTCCTGAGCTTTCAGGAGGTTTGGGGATGGGGAGAAGTTTAATGCCCATCATGGGACCAGTCATGTAGCTAGACTAAGAAAAAGACTTAAAGAGTTTAACTGTGCCACACAACTGGGGAATACAGGGCCCTCATTTTTTGAGCTATGGCAGCCATATAATTCTAGTGTATTCGGATGTCATTTTTACTTGAATAACAAAATAACTACTATAATGAATGTGGTAACAAATAAGTATCTTTACCTTTAACCTGGCTACTGATGGAAACAGTGCTGGCCAGAAGTTGACTTTGATAACATGACACCATCCTCCTAGGACTGACCTTCCAGATATGATGAGCATGGAGCTTGTTCTTACTGCCTTTTTTTTTTTTTAATACTGAAATGCTGTGCCTTGACCAGCAGGTGGTACAGGAAAGAAGTAGCCGCTTTGGCCATTGTTTTTCTCCTCCTGTTTCCTGTCTGCTTATTACAAAGCAAAGCAAAAAGCTTAGCTGAGGAAAATCTTGGTAGTAGAATTTGGGTGCTAGGTTTTTTGTTTCTTTGTTTTTTTGGTACTGAGGATTGAAATCAGGGGTACTCAACTACTGAGCCACATCCCCAGACCTATTTCATATTTTATTTAGAGACAGGGTCTCACTGAGTTGCTTAGTGCCTCACAGTAAGTGCTAGTGCTTAGACTGGTTTTGAACTCATGATTCTCCTGTCTAAGCCTCCCAAGCCATTGGGATTACAGGGGTGTGTCACCACAATGGGCACCCTTTGACATATTAAGCCCCTTTGACATATTAAGGAGAGTTTATTCTCCTAGAAGGCAATTCTCTCTGAATCTGGGGCCCTGACCTGTAGTTTTTGTGGTAAATGCATTAATAACTCAAAGTGACATTCAGCAGTGACTTGCCACATCAAAATTTATTTTAAACTTTGTTTTTTTTAATGAGTAATATAATCTGGGATCATTGAGTTTTACATGTGTTTCTAATAACAGTGATGCACCTCAAAGTGTTGTTCATGGACAGCTATAGATGTTCATAGCTGCATTTATTGAGCACTTTCTAGGTATCTCATACTACTATGCATTCTTTATATATTATGTATTATATCTTTATGTATTAACTAAGAAATCCTCATTCAATCCTCTAGGTTAGTTACTACTATTCTCATTTTACATATGAGGATCTCAAGTTCAGAGATGTTTAACAGTTTGCCTAATTGTGTCAGTTAGTAACTGATGGAGCCGTAATTCAAGTGTTGACATTCTGGTGTCGGTGTCCTCACTTTTTAACAATTTCATTTAACACCTCTATAATAACTACTTGTTATTCAAGTAAAAATGACATCCGAATACACTATACATACTCCTTCCATAGAGTCTAAATCAGTGGTTTAAAAGCTTTTGTTAATAGGCAAAGCCTTCTTAGAAAGTAAATCGTAATGAAACGTCTTTATTTAATAAAGTGGAGCTTTTTTGGTTGGTTTGAAATGGAAGGCCTGGGCCCGTCATTTGGCTTTTTCCTGATGCCACCCACACATCCCTGTTTCCACAGTCCAGTCAGCATTGGAGATGCACTCAAGCAGCATTTCATTAAAGTAAGTTCCCTTAAGATCATAGATTTTTAAAAATTTAACTTTTTATTGTTGTTGCTGCTTTTTTCCTTAACAGGTATCATGACAGAATACAGAATGTGATGCCTGAGCAATTATAGAAACCTCTGCCTTGAGATTTCTTTTATAAAATGCTCACTAGCTTCTTGGGCACAGTTATTGACTGTCTTCTTTCTTCTTGTCAGGAATGTCTTTTTTAATTAGAAGACAGGAAGAAAACAAAACCCAGACTGTGTCCCACAATCAGAAACCTCCGACGCGGCAGAGGGGCCTTCACTGCCCCCAGGGTGTCCAACCCAGACAGGGAGAGACTCCAGCCTTCCCAGGCGTCCTGAGGAGTTCCTGTTTGGGGGTGTGAGGGAAAATCAGCGCGGTTTAAAAAAGATGGCTGCAGCCTGTCCGGCGTGGTGGGAGGGGAGCTGGTTTCCTGGTGAACTTGTTTCTAAAAGGAAAAACAATTTCAAGGAAATAAAAAGGAAAGCTAAATTGAAACCAGTACTGAAACATTCGCCTGATAAGCAAATGGTATACACAGATACAACACGCTAAGTGCAGTACACATAGAAAAACAAAAGTGAGGACTTGATGTGAAACAAAAATATTCACTTAGGGAAAATGTGGGAAATCAAATGAATTTTAAATAGCTACAGTTGGAAGTAAAGGGTCAGGGTCATCTCTGAGAATTTTCTATTGTTTCACCTTCTTTCCCTCTCCTACTCCCCCTCCACTTCCCAACTTTAACACACGTGAATAGAAATATTCCTCCCCCAACTGTTCTTCCTGCCTTGAGTTGTTATGACAAGAAGCCTATTCTTCTATATGTCATGGTCATGTCAGTGATACTCAGGACCAGCCAGGGTCAAAATTCATATTTATGTATAACCCAACCCTGACCCTATTCAATCTCTGAATCCAGCCTTTGAGGGGGAAGAGCCACATTGAGGTATTGAGGTGGGGGGGGATAGGATATAAATGTGTATTTTGTTTAGTTTTTCTTTCTTTTTTTTCCTTAGCAAACTATTCACCCACAGACATGAGGAAAAAAAATAGGGTGGGAGAAGCAGAAGTGTTTACAGGGCTAATTGTATTTTACTAAAAAGCGTGGAAACTAACTGACTTCTTGTGGGGATAAGGGCCAAAGTGGGGAGCCCAAACAGATCTTAATGTTTAAAAGGAGTGCAGCCCTGCACAGCCATTAGATTTGAGGGCACTGTTCTGTCTGGTGTTGTAGCCATCTCAAGAACAAATGAACAGCAACAAAACAACTGCAAAAAAAAAAAGACAATAAATTTTTAAAATGTAATCAGTGTTTCTTTGTTTTTACTTCCATTTACTACCTCCCAATTCTGAAATGATTTGGTCAGAGCAGCTAAGTAAGCAACTTTAGTTGGTACCTCATAGACAGCTGGGTATGGAGTTGAAAGGTCAAGCCCTTGCCCTGTACCATAGACTCTGCAGGGAAGTGGCTTTCTGCAGGCTTTATTCTTCTAGTTCACCCTAAAGCTCCTCATGCTGCTTTTCACACCTTTCATGTCACTTCAGTAAGGTAAAAAAGGAAGCCATTCCTTCATGGTAAACTAGAAGCAAGCTTGCTTTTCTCCTCCATGGTCCCCTAAGTTAGATTGTTCTTAACTACAGAGCTGCTGGTCTTTTACTTATGTATATATGTGTACATACATATATATATATACACACACATATAGCTATATATTTTTGTTAATGATAAGGCTTTAAGTGTATACATATATGTGGTTTTATTGAACTATAATTGACAATAAACTGCACCTTTGGGGGGCAAAGCTACTGTGGATTGAACCCAGGGACATTTTGCATTGAGCTACATTCCCAACTGTTTTTTTTTTTTGAGATGGGGTCTCACTAAGTTGCTGAAGCTAACCTTGTCTTGTGGTCCTTGTGCTTTAACTTCCGGAGTCTCTAGGGTTGTAGGTGTGTGCCACTGTGCCTGGCTAAACTGTACAGAATGTATACAGTTTAATAAGCTTTGACATGATATACCTATGATACCATTGCCACAGTCAAGATAGCATATAGGATCAGGCATGGTGGTACACGCCTATAATTCCAGTGACTCAATAGGCTGAGGCAGGAGGATCAAAAGTTCCAGGCCAGCCTAGGCAACCTAGCAAGACCCTTCCCAAAATTAAAAAATAAAAAGACTGGAAATGTAGCTCAGTCTTAGAGCACCTGGGTTCTATCCCAGTACCCACTCCCCCAATGGTTCACATATTCTTTACCTACCAATTTTCCCGAGAGTCCCTAGGTGATGGCTTTCTCCTGTTCTCTCCCACCCTAGCAATCTGCTTTCTGCTACTATAGTTTATTTTCTTGAGTTTTATGTAAGTGGAATTAAACATTATGTTATGGTAATTAGGCTTTGAGCTAATATCCCTGACTACTGAACTGGCTCTCATTGATAACATCTGGCAGTATTGTTGGGACTGACATTTCTCTGCCTTTTCCTTCACTGTGTCACTTTTAACTTTTTCACTCCCGGGCTTGACTCCTCAAGCTACAGAGTGATATTTACAATCAGTGAAACAGGCCTTCCAGCATTACTTGAATCCATGGTATTCAGGGTCTTACTCTCTAAAGAGATGTTATTAGGAGAGCAAAAAACGTGAATGTGAAAGAGTGGAGTGAGGTTATCAAATCCTGGGGATCAGCACAGTTCCCTAGCCATCCCTCTCATGTTTTGGTTAAACAATAAAACCTTTAAGCCTAGTCCAACTGTACATTGCTGAACAACCAGTTGACTTTGCTCTGTTTAAGGAATTCGGCTTTTTTCACAAGAAGTTGCATCCTGGATTGAAAAATGTGGAATGCTTCATTTGGCCCTGCTAGCTACTGAATAAATAGCATGTGGAATGCGTATTCTAGTTAATGTCAAAAATGTCCTCTCTATAGCTATGGCTTTGAAAGCTGAACCCTGTCGTTAATGGCTCAGGGCCTCACAGTATATTTCCTGTGAGCCTTATAGATTTGAAAGAATCTTATTTGTGTTCCTGCATGGCATTATCTAGAGGAAGTAGAACTACCATCTTTCTCCCATATGTGCAGGTCAGCTAACTGTACCCTAACTTATCTAAGATCTAAGTTGTCTCCCCAAAGAGAGACAACTTATCTAAGTTGTCTCACCAAAGTAGTCAAGCCACTACCAAGAGGATCCCAAGAAGGGAATGTATGGTTCTCCCTTTACTTCTGGAGCTCATGTCTGTCACTTCTTTGGAATTTATCCACAAATTATCTGTTAAATGTATTGGTTAAGCCAAGAAATTTTAGTTACATGAAACACAAATCACCCATTGGGACTATTCCCAGCAAGATTACTAAAAAAGAATTTGCAATTTTTATGTACATATTTGGAAGGAATGATTAAAGATCGATGACTGAAAATGTAAGGTACATAGACATAAAGGCACCTATGCTTTTGAATGGCATCAGCACCTCAAATTTATTGTGCATATCCACCGTGTGTAACCCTGATTTAAGTGAATCATTTTACTAACTTGGAGCCAAGATCTGGAGCATGTAACAAAGTAGGTCTGATTTTGGGGGCGTATATTACCAGCAAATAAAGTGTCCTTCCAAGAACAGATCCTTAGCAAATGGAAACAACCATCAGTATCCTCTCCTGTAAAAAGACTGAAAAGGGGTGTGTTCTTGATGTCATTGAACAGCTGGTAAGAGGAAGGAGTCTTAAATTAAAGGAATATTTCATTGCATACAAGGATAAACTTGATGGAGAAGGAGGTACTTGGAAGAAGGAAGAGAGACTCCTGTGTACGTGGAATGTATTCATTCCCAGAACCGTGAGCATCAGTGTTCTCTGGATTCCAACCTAAAACAACAGCACTGGTCACCAAAGCAGTCAAGCCACTACCAAGAGGATCCCAAGAAGGAATGTATGGTTCTCCCTTTACCTCTGGAGTTCATGTCTGTCACTTCTTTTGAATTTATCCACAACTGACTACCACAACAGAAATCTAGAGGAAATGACAGTTTTTTTTTTTTTTTTTTAGAGGTACGAGGGATTGAACTCAGGGGCTCTCGACCACTGAGCCACATCCCCAAGCCCTATTTTGTATTTTATTTAAAGTCAGGGACTCACTGAGTTGCTTAGTGCCTCACTTTTGCTGAGGCTGACTTTGAACTCGTGATCCTCCTGCCTGAGCCTCCTGAGCCACTGGGATTATAGGCATGTGCCACTGTGCCTGGCCTAGTGTTTTCATTTTTGTTTTAAGAAATTGAAAAGAAAGTAGAAAGCCAAGGAAGATATAAGTAGTACTGGACTACCAGTGTTTATATAAAGCATGTAGTTCTTCCAAGTTTCCTTAATTCATCTACTCTGTCTCCCTACTCTCCAAGACACCAAGGGCTGCCTTCAGAGACAAGGACTATATTACTGGGAGAACATTCCCTGACTAAATTTAGCTGAGTAATACCATCAGGGAATGTGAGACAGTATTTCCATATTTGTCAGTTGTTTGAGAGAGGTTGGCAAATATGGGACATCTCCAAAGCTTAAAGCTTGTCGAGAGGAAATAGAATTGTACAGACCAGTGGGCAGTAAAGGTGCTAACCTTTGTAAATGACTGCAGACTGAGGACCTAGGTAAAGTTTCTTAAGGGGGTACAGGTTAATAATTCTGAAAACACCATATGTATGACAATATAGAAAAGCAGGGGGTTGGACTGGGGATATACAGTTCAGTTGGTGAGTGAGTGTCTCGCATGCACAAGGCCCTGGGTTCAATTCCCAGCACCAAAAAAAAGCAGGGGTTGGGAGTGGACTTCACTGTGGAAGAACTACTGGTAGTTAAAGTCAACAAGCAGCAGTGTAAATCATATACTCTCTTTTGAGCCATATCCTCAGCCATGTACTCTTTTTTTTTTTTCCTTTTCCAGAATGTTCCTTGAGTGTAGCTCATGGTAAAGTGCTGGCCTAGCATACATGGGGCTAAAGACACATGCTGAATATTTACACGTGTAATGTTATTTTCTGGATTTGCTTCAAAATTATCTTGGTGTGGAGTATGGATGTAAATTTAGATAAGAAAGATTGATTATAAACTGATAGTTATTGAAGCTGCTACATGGGAATTTTCTATTATCCTTCCAATTTTCAAAAATGTTTAAAATTTTTCATGATAAAACAATAAATTGTCAGTCCAGAAAATTATACTCATGAGCTATCTCATATTCAGACAACATTATCTAATAGCATATGAATATACATGAGGATAAGAGACTAACTGGTCCCAAATGTAGCTAGAATCCCAGGCCTCCCTTTTTCACCACTTCTTAAGGGAAAGTTGATTGGGACAGGATTTTAGACTGCATACCTTGCCTCAGCCAGCTTCCTCCTGGAAAGCAGGCCATCCCATGCCAGCATGGGCCAGAGGGCAGGTGCTGGGGGGGACAGCCAGCTAGCATCCAAAGGAGGGTCTGGTAGAACAGCATGGAAGTCAGGCACTAGAAAAAAACAGCTCAGTCTGTTTTTAACATTTTTTTAATCCAAAAATACATAAAATTATATTTTCTACCCCAGGTTCTTAAACTCTGGAAAAGGGGGAGTAGTTGCCAACCTTAAGTATCCAGTAACACAAAGGCTCATCATATCCATCTCAGGAAGAAGAAAGAAGAGGAAGCAACACTCAAACTGGGGAACCCCCAAATCAGGCCCATGCCCAGCAGAGGCCTTGCTGAGGGACTTGACCCACAACACTTCTTGGCTCTTTTGCCAAAAAAAGGGGTGGGGGGCAACCATAACTAGGCCCCCAAGGTTGGAGGTGTTCTTTTCCTGCTCTTTTGGCTGCTGGCTGAGTTTCTTCAGAGCTAGAATGAACATAGGGTTAGGCCAAAGAAGATGGAGCCCTTTTAAAGCAGAGCTTTGCAGAGAGAACTTGGTGCTTAGGCCTTTCTTTGTACTTGGCCCAAATCCACATTCAGGAGACCCAGAGGTAGGACCTTGCAGCCAGCCAGGCCTTCTGGGGCTATCACAGCTGATCAGTCTACATAGTCACCCAGGAAACCTGGGCCAGCCAGTATTTGCAGCCCTGTTATTGCATGCTGACTGGGTGCATGGGCCAGGGCCTTTGTTCAGCACCAAGGCCTGCCACTGGAGGGGCCTGGGCCACAGGCTGCAGCTGTTGCTGAGACTGCCAGATGTGATGGAGCTCCTTGAACTGCTCCACCATGTGGTCTTTGAGGTCTGGGTTTGAGATCTGTAGGCGAATGCTGTCAGCTGACCAAGAAAGCTCCCCTGAGAACATCTCCAGCAGCA